CGTACTTGTACGCACAATGCCTCTGTAACTCTATCTTCGCTATGGACCCGCAGGACCTTGAGAACTGGAATGGGGGGATGAGATTCTTCGAGAAACCACATAACCCTGTCATTTCAGTGGGTGTCGGCGGGTTTAGATACTCTGACGTATTACCCGGCAGCCATTGGCTGCTGTTCCCTTTTTTTTTTTTTTATAGACAATGGAAGCCGCGCCGAAAAAGTTATTCCTTATCGTCGTCGGCTGCATTGTCCTTAACGCATTGCGTCACGAGGTTTGGATTTATGCGTGAGTCGTACTGTATATATATATATATATATATATATATATATGCGTGGGTGCGTATATATATGCATACACGCATACACAGTGCGTAACTGTACGCTTCTAGATGTCGCGTAATGCGCGCGGCATTGGAGAAGCTTCTGGATGCGACCGCCTGGACGCGCCACCTGCTCGTCGGGCGCAGCAATCAATACGCAACGTGGGCTCCGTGTGTTTCCGTACGTTGCGTGTGAGTGCGTATGCACGTGTCGCCACGGCTGAACCCGTATGCGTGAGATTACGCGTGACCCCGTGCCTTGTATGTTTCCCATATCCTCCTCTTTATCATTCCTCCAGAAGTTTCCTTCGCAGTAGTCGTATGTCGGCGACGAGAGGCTCCGGGCGTTTGAATAATCGCGAACGACATATAAAAACAGGCCAGAGGATTTGTTGCTGGTATTTTTTTTTGGGTTACTACCTTTTCCTTCGGTGGTAACTTCGATGCGATTCTTGTATTTTATGTGTATCAAGGGCTATTAGAGATTTTATTATTTATTTCACTCTGCCATGCACGGCAGGATACGTTGTTGACTTTGCGCCTGACGGACACTCCGAAAAAGCTTTTATATTATTTGTCGAGGCCATTTATACTGCGCCGGCACGGCGAACGGCTTTTCCACTCGATGCGTGACACTTAATTGCCCGGGTGATCTATTATTTAACATCTTCGTGTTTAAGTACGTCGAGAGCATCGTTACCAATTTCCGTTGAGAGAGCTGTCAGGAGGAAAGGATATTTGTCGTTTTCGTAATTTGTCGAGGGAGGGGGGGGGGATTCAAAAAATTTCTAATCGAACATTCTAGCTTCGTTCTGGTGATACTCGATTCGCCTTACAAGCTACTCGTCGAAGGGACGATGTTTTGAAAAACTTATTTTTTTTCGGACACCCGGTGGATATTGAATATGTATATTAAAACTGAAAGCACGATTCATCCTGTATGCTCTGCGGTATCTGTAAAATGTTTTTTGGGTATTGCCAAAGATGTTCAAAATTTCATCCCTTTTTGGGTTTTAAGAGCAATAGCGATTGGTGTATGTATATATGTATATATGGTAAGATGAGCTAAGTAGACTGGGGGGGTTGGATGATCTCAACCTGATCCGAGGGACAATGCGAATTGCTTGCGCGGTCGGTGATCGCCGGGATTTGTCCGACCGTGGCTTGTTTTTGGTTATGGTCGCGAAAAAGCATCGAAGGACCGTGGTGAGTGGACCGTTGTGCAGGTTATGGTTTCCTGGGGCATCTGCCGGGGTTGGAGAGGGTAGAGAAAGGAAATTGGATCCTTCGTCCCTGGTGGGAGAGGGAAAACGAGGATGATGAGGAGGTCTGAATAAGATGGGTGGTGGAG